AGAGATTGTTCTCAAATGCCCAGTCAAGGAAAAGACATGAAGCTCTAATTTGCTGTTTGATGATTTCTAGGAGGTAAGAAGGAATCTATGAATAACTGCAGTTTTCCTCAGGGACTGATCAAGATAGTTTCTGCTTTGCAATTGATGACAAATGCTGTCTTGTGTTTAATTAAATAGTCCTTCATCATCAAACCCTTTATACTAGGTGCTTTCTAGTCTTTTTCATATGTAGTTTTAGTCTGTGACAATTGTCCTGTGTGGGCACATATCTGTAAAAATGTGAATTTGCCATTTTAAACTTGATCAGAACACGGAGCCAAAACAAGCTCCATGCACTAGTAATTTATAAAAAATGGTCTGGCACTTTGCATGGAAATTTCCAATCTCACTGTGGCTTTACCCTCTCTTATCAGATTTCTAAAGTTTAAAAAAACCCAAACAAACCAAACAGGGGAAAAAAAAGATTTAAAGAAACATGAGAACTTCTTTTCCAGTTGTCAGGTCAGTGGTCAGCTCAGTGGGAAACTCAGCATTAGGGATGGGGTCAAAATAGGAACCAGCCCACCAGCCCTCTGGACTAAACTTTACTGTAAGACTTTTCTTACAGCAACACCTTCTGCAGCCCATCTTAGGTCACTGAGAAGGAAAACACATTCTCTTCATTGCCTCTTTTTGGCACAGTCTGAGTTTTCTGGGTTTCTTTCCCTCAGGGTGTAAGGCTGAGAATTCTGGAATGAAATGCCCCAAAAGAGCAAAGGCTTTTCCTCCAGTCCTAGAGGGTGTTCACAAAAGGTTTATTTTAATTTCTCTAGTTACTGAAATAAGCAGCTGCTCAAGTGGCCCATACTTCCCCTGTGCCCTTTTATCAATATTGATATTTATTGAAAGCAGCGGGACTAGCTTGTTCAAAACCAGGCCTAGCAATACTCTGCCATTCTTTCTTGTAATGGTCGTTTTGTCAGTGGAATACAGGGCTTCTAGACTTATATGCTCTGTTTCTGCCTTGCTTCCAGGTCCCGTGCCTTTCAGAGCCCTTCCCCAGTCCTACCTCTGCCTCCCCAGACTCTCTCTGGCCTGTCTGTATGGCTCAGCAGGGGCATGTGAGAGAACAGCTTCTTGGTCCATCCTTCCTTCAGTGAGCCAGAGCTGTCTGTTTGTCCACCAGGAACAGCCCATCACCTTCACCCCATCTCAGGCTTCACAGAGGAGCAGGTTTTAAAAAGAGCAGAACAGGACTTCCAATGCTTACCGGGGTATTCAAACGCCTCTTGGGTATTTTGCAGTAGAAGGAAGAGGTATTCTCCTTCCCTCCTCAGATCTTCCCTAGGCTCTTCTTGGGCAAGTCCCCAATGAGGGTTAGACAACATAAAAAACAGAGTTGAAACTTCCAGAAGTGGCCCCAGGTGCCTCCAGATGGTCTTGCCAAGAGACCCTGTGTCCCAAAGAAGCACCCCCGGGTTCCATTCAGTGTGTGAGGCTTTATTCTTCTCTGCTGATTGCACTGCCTCTGTGGTAACACAGTCAGCCAGCTCTTTGTGCCTTACCTGATATTTCCCTGCCTCTGTGGTCTTCCTATTCCTCACATTCCTGGGGGACGTGCTCTTTGATGTCTTCTTCCTTGCTCTGAAGGTTTCGCTGGTCTGCCCAGTTGTCCCTCAGGACCTGAGCCTGCTGCACAGCAAGATGCTTGTCTTCCTGCAGTCAATGGAGGGCTGAAAAGACACAGGAAGATGCATCAGTGACTGTGAAATCCCAAGTCAGACTGACATCTTCCCTGCCTTCCCCAGCTTGAAAGCCTTCCCCAAGTTCAGTCTCATACCCAGGCTGAGGTTTGGGACAGGGCACTAGAGAGAAGATGCAGTGTAGGTCAGCAGAAGGTCGTAACGTCTTTCCCCCATCAAGGAGACAGTGTAAAAGAGGAGGGATAATTTTAACCTACATATCCTCAGAAGACTCATACCCTACTCTATCAGCTGGGCTGAAATGTATCGGGCCATATACATGCCCTTGAAACTCTCCTGTGTGAAGATGGAGGCCCATCGTAGTCACCGCAGCCCTGATGATGGCCTGGTTGAGCTGGAGACAGGGAAGGGAGAAGTTTGCTCCAACTGAACCTCACTGAACTCAGCATCCCCCAGACGCAAGGTGCCTCTTCCCAAAAATAATAATCTCCCTTATTCCTCTGGAGGAAAAAGGCTTGTTCAAGAGGGTAGGGAGTACTTCCTTTCTTTTGTACCCACAACCCTTCTGACTGAAAGGCCACTGGAATTCAGCTGGTTCTCAGCAGGAATTCTCCAGGCCCAGCTTGTGGGAGAGGTGTGAAGGTGGAATCCACCCCCACAGCATTTCCATGCTCTTCAGCAGCACCTTCCAGCTCCAGACGTTTTCAGAGATAAGCCGCTTCCTCCCAAAGCACTTCTGACGCGCCGGCATCGCACAGAAAGGCAGGTGAACTCCAGCATCACAGCTACTGCTGGAGGGCCGACAGAAGCAACAACTCTCACCACTTCTTCACAGTCCAGCCAGCTGCTGAGCACATCTCTGACCATATAGCAGAACAAAGGGTAAACCTTGTCACAAAACTCATCTTCCCCCATTTGAGAGAAGGAACATTCTTCCCAGTCTCAGAAGTTGAGATTTACACCTTTTGATCACCTTTTCAGAACTGTAATAAAAGAAGGGGGGAAAAGTTCCTGATGTAAAGTACCAGTGAAAGTCTCTTGCGTGACCACCAGGTCTGTCTCAGATGGCACTCCCATGCTCACTGGTGTTTAGTTTTGAACCAGATTTGGATTCAGGGGCACATGTGAGGTGTTTTAAAATTCCTTCCTTGAAATGTTAAGAGATTTCTCTCCTCCATCTTCTCTTCCTAGTTCCCTTCAGGTAACTCCTTTATACATATGCATTTCTATATGTTATATATTGTGTATATTGGTTCCTGATGACCATTAAAAGGCAAATGTCACACCCATTTTCAAGGGCAAGAAGAAGGATCCAGGGAACTACAGAGCAGTCAGCCTAATCTCAGGCTCCAGGAAGAATATGGAGCAGATGTTCCCAGCATCTGTGTTCAAGCTTGTTAACAGAGGGTCAAAGAAGAGCTGAAAGCACTGCCTGATCCTGGCAACGCTGTTAACCTGCAAATTAGGGACTCAAGCTTATCATAATATTTTCTAATTCTGGATGTAAGACAAGATTTTCTAAAAGATCTAAGTATTGTCTGACCATGCAACGGGGAAAAAGACAAAGGTTGCCTGCAGTCAAGTTTAAATACTGTTATTTTTTTGGCACAGTGGGATTTAAGTATGTCCAAGTTAAAGATCTACTGTTACAAAGTACAAAGGTCAAGGCCGTGTTTGTCTTTGCCAGCTGACTTCAGAGCTGTTCTTATTTTTTCCCTGCCTTCTATTCAATGCCTGGCTTATGTGTCAGCTGGCTACTGTGTCCTAATAGCATCACTCAATCCATAATATAGGAGAAGGAAATTAAAAGTTACTATAGTTTTTTATGATTTGAGTGGGGGGTTATTTTGCTTTCTTATCTGAGCAGTTATGTGGGGCCACTGAATGAACATAAGCAGCGTCTTCCTGCGTCTTCATCATAGATGCATTGCAAATAATGATCTCTGCCTATAGGACTAAGTGTTTTGTCCTTGCTTTAATGAATGTGCCTTAATTATAGAGACTGTTGTGCTGCATCAAACACAACTTGTCACAGAATAACATAAGCTCCCACAGGACACCAGAATGTCTGAACAAAGTAGCTAAATACGAATTTCACCCCAAAATAAGGACAAAGGCATTTTAGTGCTTTACAGTTTATTTCTGTGGTGGAGTATGGCTCCCAGGGTTACATGGCTCAGGTGCTGAAGCCCTAATAAGGATGTACAGAGGCCATCCAACACCAATGCAGGTCTGCTGGCCAGCAAGAGAGAAACAGAATTAGACTGGGATCAGCCTCCAGGCCTCCTTTCCATCTCCTTATGCCCTGTCGCCACTGCTGGGACATGACTTTCTTCACAACAGGCCATCCCATGACCTTTGCCCCACAGAAATCCCTCCCAGGAGTTAAGTTGCCCCTGTGCTGTTGTTAATGTTTGCTTTTCTCATTTCCTAGAATGGTTTGGGTTGGAAGGGACCTTTAAAGGCCATCTAGTCCAACCCCCCCCTGCCGTGGGCAGGGACACCTTCCACTAGACCAGGTCGTTCAGAGCCCTGTCCAGCCTGACCCTTCCAGGGATGGGGCATCTACCACCAATCTGGGCAATCTGTTCCAGTGTTTTATCACTCTCACAGTAAAACATTTCTTACTTATACCCAGTTTAAATCTCCCCTCTGTAAAACTGTTACCCCTCATCCTATCCCTCCACCCCCTGATCAAGAGTCCCTTACCCTTTCCTGTAGCCCCCTTTCAGCCCTGGGAGGCTGCTCTAAGGTCTCCCTGGAGCCTTCTCTTCAGCTGAACCCCCAACTCTCTCAGCCTGTCCTCACAGGGGGGTGCTCCAGCCCCCTGAGCATCTTCATGGCCTCCTCTGGACCCGCTCGAGCAGGTCCGTGTCCTTCTTCTGTTGGGGGCCCCAGAGCTGGACACAGCACTGCAGGGGGGGTTCTCATAAAAGTGGAGCAGAGGGGCAGAATCCCCTCCCTCGACCTGCCGGGCACACTTCTCTTGTTGCAGCCCAGGGTACGGTTGGTTCCTGGGCTGTGGGCGCACACTGCTGCCTCATGTCCAGCTTTTCATCCCTCAGCACCCCTGCGTCCTCCTTGCAGGCCGTTTCCTAAGGTGGGCTGCCAGTACCGGCATCACAAAGCAAACACCGTGTCACTGCGCCGAACTCTTCCAGAGGAGAGGCTGGGGAATGCTTCGCCCTGCCCTCCGCGGCGGCGCGGGCTGCGGGGC